TTGAAGCAGGGTGGCAGTGAATGAAGAATGATGTCAATCGCCAGCTCTTCATCGAAGTTAACATTTAACTTCAGCAGGCGGTCAACATACCTCTGCATCTTCTGCAGATGAGAAGTGACAGACTCTCCGTCTCTCATCTTGGTCGTGATCATCGAAGTGATGATCTCGTACCTCTCCTGACTCGCACTTTGGTGATACCTTTCAACCAAGTCCTGATGCATTTCGTAGGGATAGAAGTCCTCGTAGGACTTTTGGAGTTCAACAGTCATGGTCGCCAGCATGATGCAATGGACTTTCGTGGCATCACGCTCATGGGCCTCGAAGGCAGCGATCTCCTCGGGAGTAGCAGTGTTCATGTCCACCTCTTTCAGATCCTTGTCGAGGACATACTCCTTGTCGTCGTAGCGGGTAACCATCCTTATGTTGCGGATCCAATCATTAAAATTGTTTCCGTCGAAGATCATCCTCCCACACAAATTCATGAGTGAGAATGAGCCGGAGGCGTTTGATCTTGAAGCGTTGTGATTTGAGTTCGACATCTGAAAAAGAAAAGAGACAAAGTTTGATTAGATAAGAATCCCCAATTAGACACCCAAATGAGAAATTAGGGCTAGGATCCAAGAACATTATTTTCAATTTAGAAGAGGGATACCGTAATATAAACAACAAATAATTTGAAGGTAAGTGAATGACGATTCACTAATTTCCACCATGAAAAACAAAAGAGAATTAAGTTTTAAATATGTTGAAAACTCCTAGATCTTTTGAGATTCATTGAACTTTTCAATGGCATGTTTAAATCTCGATATGCCCCTCAAGTTTGTGACTGGGATACCGAGGATCACAAACAGGGTATGAATAACCATGCGAATGTACTTGGTGCCCCAATGTTACAGTCACCTAATCGATGTGCCGGTTAACCACACACGCTCCAGCGATCTATGACAAACATCGAGTCACCCTTTGCCACCCTTTCTTAGAGCCAAATTAGTGTGCCGGTTAACCACACACATTCCACTAACGTCTTAGCAAGGGTACAAAGTGTAATTCCATGGAATGGCATCAATTTGACATTTTCCTAAAATAACTAAGATTGAGAATTTTTGAAAAAACATTTAGTTACTTTATGAATCAATATACTTTTAATGAGGAAAGGGTTGCCCTATCCTACCCGTTCGGCAAACGACCCTCCACCAATCAAGGAAGCGGTGGGTGAGAGTGGACACTCATTAAACGGCCATTTTATAGGCCATAACCTTATACCCCCCTTATAGATTGGCTTCGTGAATGAGGCCTACTAACGGTAAGACTAGCATTTAAGTTATACATATATAATAATTATTCTTATAATATTATAATAGTATAGGGTGAATTTTAAACTTGTAAAATTCTAGGGTTTGGAATTTAATTATTTCAAAATTAAACTTTTAATCCAAAATTTTAAATTCCAAAACTTGAGGGCAAGTTTTGAAACATTTCAAAACTATCTAGATCAAAATTCAAATAAATAATTAAACAATTAATTATGGTGATTATCTAATTTTGACCTAATCCAAATTCATGCAAGATAATTGACCAAATAATTTAAAGAATTAACATTGATCATATAAGGAAATAATTATTCAATTAATTTGACATTATCTTTTATTTTGGCAAGGATAATTACATAATATCAATAAAATTCGTATTTTATCAATTAAAAACGTTTTGGTAATTATCTCTCAGCAAAAAAGGCATAAAATACCGAAATATCCTCTGTCTGACTGCCCGACTCGCCGAGTCCCTTACTAGACTCGTCGAGTTCATCCTACTCGGTGAGTCCTCTTTGGAACTCGATGAGTTTGTCAGACCGAAGGCCAAAAAATCGATTTCAAGCAATAAGCAATCATGCAATGCATCAAATACAATAGATACCAACCAGTCTCTGATACCACTGATGGATTTAGAACAAAAGAACAATCCTATGTGCTCATGCAAAACCCTAAAGCTTGGATCTAGGTTTCTCTATTGTACATGCAATTCATCCAAGACTTATGAATCCTAGATCTAGCATACATATTTCGAAATTAACTTAATAGATTAGATCTAGATGATTACCTTTCTTGAATGGCTTGAATCTTCAACTCTTGGAGCTTAGTGTCACAAATGTCACACCTCTAATGGCTTACAAACACCACAAGCAAGAGGATGGTATTGGAGAGAAAGGAGGGAGGCACTAAATCTCGGCTATGGAACTCTCTAGGGTTTCTGGTAGCCGAATTCTGATGCCCTAGGGGTCTATTTATACTTGTGCTGCTAGGGTTTCAGTCAAAACCCTAATTGGATTGCTTAGGCCTTAAGCAGTCCAATGAACCTTCTGGAATAAGGCCGTAGACGAAAATATGATGGGGTCCCATCCAATTTTCGTCCACTCCTTTCTTCCTAGGGTTTCACAGCCCATTAATTATTTATCCAATAATTGCAATCTAGTCCCCTTTATGTAATTAATCTCTTTTAGCCACCAAATTAATTCTTAATTAATTTATGACCAATATTAATTAAACAATATGATTTCTCTTTTAATATATTATTCCTCTTTTTTTTTTTGTAAGTGGGACCAATCTACGAATACCTTCTTTTATACATAGACAACATTATTCTTGTTACCTCATCACCGACTCTACTTCAACAAATTATTAATCTGTTAACCATGAATTCCCCATGATAAACTTAGGGGAACTAAACTACTTTTTATAGATTTATGCTACAATATACCATTGGACTCTTTCTCAATCAACAAAAGTATGTTATGGAAATAGTTAAGTGTGTGGATATACTCAACTGCAAACTCCCTCATACGCTTATTAATACAATCAAATTTAGAAGCCTCCGGTCACCTTGCTATCGATCTCGCTTGTTATAAGAGCTTAATGGGCGCCTTTTAGTATTTACATTTACATGTCCATATAGGGACAAGGGGGGGGGGGGGGAGCTTTGTTAGAAATAGCCCCTCTATTTTAATTTTATACATATTAGACCAAAAAATAAAATTTTGGCTATGGCCCCCCCTATTCACCGATTTTTATACATATTATATTTCCGACCCCCAAATCAAATGTTGAAGCTCCGCCCCTGCAACCATGTAGTTTAACAAATTTGTTTTGTTTATGCATGATGCACGTGAGCTATTGGGTTTCCAATCTATCTAGTGTGCTTCATACCTCACCTACCAAATACACAATTATATATTATGACAATCTTAGTGTCATGACATGTCTACAAATATAGTTCAACATCACTGAACCAAGCACATCTCGACATACACGTATTTCGTCCAAGAACATATTGCTTTGGGTCATGTTCAAGTTCTCCATATTTCCTCTAGTTCTGAACTTGCATATATCTTCACCAAGAGATTTCCAACATCTTTGTTTCATGAGTTTAGGTGCGGTTTAAACGTGCAGGTCATTCCTTCTAATAAAACTGTGGATAAATGTTAGTGTATACATTATGTATAGTCTAGCCCATGTTAGTCCCATTTTGTATATCATGCACATTATATCTCTTGTAATCTTGTATTTATATCACGTTAACTAGGAGATATTTTTTATGGGGAAATCATAATTCTACAAGATTGAAAAAAAGGTCATCGGCTTCATATGATTTGACAAGTGAATGAAATGTTTAACAAAACCAAACATCAAGAAAAAAACGTTGAATCTGGAGTCCTCCATGAACAATTTTGGAACCTACAGTTGGGTCATCAAATCTCCATGGTGCTTTGTCAGAACAACCAACAATTTAAGAATTTTACATGTGTCGTATGACTCCTCACAAATTGAAAGCTATGGTAAAACCGAGCATCTTTCCTGTATATTTGATATGTTCTCATTGTAACATGAATGAGTATAACTGCTCAATTTGATATGCATGCGATGATGTCAAGAACATAAATATCATATGCACTTAAAGGTTTGTTGTTTAACAAAAGTTATTCATAATGGTTTCAACACATGGATAACTAATTAAGTGTAAATTATTGATAATAAGAACCAAATACTATACAATGTAATTCAGTCAACAAAATGTATAATAACTAATTTGGAAAATAAAATTTAAAAACAAACAGATAGATTTAATAGGAATAAAACAATAAACTAATACATAATTTATCAATAAAATCCAACCAACACAATTTTTTCAATACTTCAATACAAATTTATTCAAACAATTTGCAATTAGATATTGCAATCTTACTATTAAATAAGCATGTTCCTACAAGGACATGTAGTGTTAAAGCCATTCGAAATGTTGTAATTAAACGACTCATTAATCATAGAAAACATTCATTTCGTAGTCATACAAAATGTAGATGTAGCGTGTCTGAAATTAATGCCTCATATACAAATATCACTTTGCTTAGGGACTAACAATAACATCAATACAGTGTATGTTTATTATTTTATCTGTTTAATAACAAAAATATTTAACGTCAACATTTTAATCATAATAAAAAGTATAATATATCTTCTTCTTTTTTTGACAAGCAGCATGTTAGACATTTTAATTGCAACATCGTAAATGCAATTTCCTATATATATTGGAATTTATGTATTTTGTTGAAAATGGAAACGAAGACAAAGGGTGACAGTTATTCCGTTAAAAAGAAAAGGGCGTACTAGTGTCCTCCTATGTATGTCCTACCTTTTCAACTCCAACGAAAACGCGGCTGCTTGTTTGCCAATCCCCCCATATGACTAAAATTAGAAACTCCATGGAAACAACGAAATTTCACAACCCCACCCTCGTAAACCCTAATTTTTCTTTTCTTTCTTTCACCTCATAACCCTCTTTCACCCTAAATTCAACGAATATACTCTCACTTCTTTAAATTCTGACAACCAAGAAGAAAGGGGAAAAGATTGATCGACCTTTTCAAGAGAAAGTAGTCAATTTTTATTTTTGTTAATGCTAATCTGTCGACTTATCTTTCGTAATCAAATTACCTACAGCATTTGGGAATGGATTCGGTTTTGAAGAAAGGGAATGAGAAAAAGAGGAGTCTAATCAGTTCCGAGAGTTGGGTCGTGAACGATGAGAGAAAAAGAAGGAAGCAAGAACATGAGGTGCTTGAACAGAGCAAGTATGGCGATGGAATGGCTTGGTTTAGAGGTTGCTTGATTGGTAAAGGGTGTTTTGGGTCTGTTTTTCTTGCGAATTTGAAGAAACCCAAATCGAGATACAGCTCTTACCCATCAATTATGGCTGTGAAATCGGCTGAGGTCTCTGTTTCGTCTTCAATTCAAAAGGAGAGAGAGGTTTTGAATAATCTCCGAGGGTGTCGTAATGTGATCAGATGTTTTGGGGAAGAGATTACAACCGGAGAGAATGGACAAATGGTGTACAATTTGCTGCTGGAGTATGGCTCCGGAGGAACCCTAGCTGATCTCATCAAAAAATCCGGTGGAAATGGGTTGCCAGAATCGGATGTCAAACGTCATACTAGGTCAATTCTTCATGGATTACGTCATATACATCATAACGGGTATGTCCACTGCGATTTAAAACCTGAAAACATTCTACTCATCGGTAGTTCCTCTAATGGTGATTTCACGGCTAAAATTGGCGATCTGGGGTTAGCAAAAAGGGCAAAACAGAGCAAGAAAAGCAAAGTCGTCCGTTATCAGAGAGGCACCCCGATATATTTTTCACCGGAACTTCAAACCGACGGCGTCCAAGAAGCTCCGTCTGATATCTGGGCATTTGGGTGCATCGTGCTGGAGATGTTCACCGGAAAACCTCCATGGAACTCGAAAATGGAAAACAACAACGACGAATCACCTTCAATTCCGAGCAGTATATCAAGTGAAGGGAGAAGTTTCTTGAAGAGTTGTTTCTCGAGGAAAGCTTGTTTTAGATGGACGGCTGAGATGCTGTTAGCTCATCCTTTTCTTGAAGGAATCGGTGATGATAATGAAGAAGATGATGATACAGTTGAAGAGTTGGGTGAAGTTTTGGACATAAATGCCATTTGTTCATCTGTCATTTCTGAAAACGATGATGATGATGAGATGAGTATGTTGTCGTTTTCAGATGGGTTGAGTTATTTTTCTGAAGATGAACTCCATTGTTGTTCTGAAGAAGATGTTTCTTGTTTTTCTGTAGAAGAAAATGGTACCACTGTACCATTGAATGAAGTACATCAATACCCTATTACTTTCTCCATTTCTTCAGGAGTGTAGCTTAGTACGTAAATGTTCATGTCATGATCAGATGTTAAGTTATATCATACTTTTGTTCCATAGCCATATTTGAAATACAGATTACATTGATTTTTGCTTCTAGTTGGTATTATTTTTAGAAATCAGATTCATTCTTTGTGTTAATTTCTGCCTTATATATGTCAGAAATCAGAATGGGGAATTGGATTGTTTTTTTTTTTGTTTCCTTTTTGATAACTGGTTTTTGTATAATAATGAATCGGCCTTATTAAGAATAGTTCTTTTTAGGTAAAATATGTATCTTATTAGATGATTTTGCTGCATGTTTTTGGAGTTTTAGTGTGTAAAACTGGATATGCTTTGTTGGTCTGTTATCATATGAACATGTGGAGACAAACTGCATACATAATCTTTCTAACTTTTTTGGTCATTTGACACACAAAATAATATTTTGAAAATATAGCTTTGTTGGTCTGTAGTCATATACGATAATGAACATGATATGAGGAGCTATATACTCGTTTGGACTCATTTCCATGGTGGTAAGCATGAGTTCAGTGGTATCAAGCTTTCCAGGACTTCATTGAGAGTGAAAATGACATGCATATTATTTATAGTTCATTATGAATTAGTGATTTAAGATGAAAATTTCTGCAATGGTTATTCATCAATGGGATTTATGATCATATCTTTTACAAAAGGCTTGAAGTGAAGATGTATCGCACTTCTGTTTTTATCTTCTTTTTGGATAGACAAAATTACAAAAATGGTCCCTGTGGTTTGCCAAAAGTCACAAAGTCAGTTCCTAATTTTTTTTTGATGTAAATGGTCCTTGTGGTTTGAAAAACTTGCACGGATGGCCCTTTTTACTAACGCCGTTAGTATTCAGCCGTTAGGGACTGAATTCGTAAGGGCATTTTCGTCTTTTCAAATATAAAGGGATTGAATTCGTCTAAAAAGAATTTAAATGAGTGGAGGAGGATTCGAAGCTGGGACCTTCTCCACTAATCCCAAATCAACCTAAGCCTTATACCACTAAGCTGCATCCAAACTTGGTTTACAGTTCCGAAAAATAAATTATATTACTTAAAATCTCAAAAAAAGATAAATAACAAAATTAATTACAATTTTTTTTCCATAATTTTTTTTAATAAAACAAATTGTACTTTTACGTATTGAAGAAAAAATGAATTTTTACAATTAGTTTATATGTTTTTTTACGTATTTATTTTACGTAAAATAATTTTTTTTATGTATTTAAAAAATACGTTTTTGCACAATACGTTATTATGTTGTTATAATCTTATAATATACTTTTACGTTATGTTAACGTCTTTAATTGGTTTAAAGCAAAACTACAAGTATTTTTTTTACATAAAAACATTAAGAACATGAAAACATAACGAAAAAAAAACTTTAATATTCGCTTTAAATCAACTAAAGATGTTAAGATAACGTAAAAGTATATTTTAGGATTTTAACAACGTAATAACGTACTATATGAAAATGTATTTTTTAAAAACATAAAAAACATACTTCACATAAAATAAATATATACAAAAAAAATTACGCATTTTTTAGGATTATGTTTTTGTATAATATGTTATTACGTTAAAAGTATGTTTTAGGATCATAGAAATGTAATAACATATTATGCGCAAACGTATTTTTTTTATATAAATTAAAAAAATATATTTTACGTAAAACAAATACTTAAAAAAAAACTGGTCTAAAAAATATTTTTTTTACAATACACTAAAAATATATTTTGTTTTATTAATTTTTTTTTGTAAAAATATGTTTTTTTTATTTCTTATTGTTAATGTAATTACGATTTTACGTAATATAAGTTAGTTTTCGGAACTATAAACCAAGTTAGGGTGTAGCTTAGGGGCTGTTTGTTTTGCACTTACTCAGTCCGGTCAGAAGTGACTGCTGACCGAGTCAGCAGTCAGAGTGTTTGATGGAGTTTAAAGTTGGCTTACTCGGTTAGCTATTGCTGACCAACATCCTGACTCGTTCCTCAAAAAATTAGCTGCTGACCGAGAAAGTGAACTTCCTTTCCCCGGTTGCCCTTGTTTTTCTCTTTGAATGAACTTCGCTCTGCCCTCTCCATCGAGTCTTTGATGCACTTCAGCCTCGTCGACCACCTTCTCCACCACCGCCCTCTCTAGCACCGGCCACCTCATTCACCACCGAACTCCCAATCCCTTCTCTCATGATCGATCGTAACTGTCGTCTCTCTCTATTGTTCTCCCTCCCATCGCACCAAGAAGAAAACGAGATTTCACCCCTTTTTCGTTAATCAAGTTGCAGGTATTACCGTTTTTTCTAAAATATATAAATGTTTTTGGGTTTCTGTACTCTCACCCTAACCCTGTTCTGAATCGATCGCAATCTTCACACACGTCTTGAATTTGATTGCAGGTCAAAATCGAATAACAAGGGGATGGAGATGTTGGTTAATTTTATGTGAATTACGTGTTTTAGTCGATCAATTATCTGTTTCCCGTTGATACCCACTTGCTAAAACGATTTAAATCACTCGTAATTAACCCTTTTTTGTTCTTAATCTAAAAGTTGGCTCGTTTTATTTTTCTTGAAGTTGCAGATTGTAATCAAATACATGGCCTTTGTTTGCGTTGATTTTTTAAAGCTTTTGAGAGTGGGTATCTACTAAGAATTTGAGGTATCATATTGGAAAATGAAATTGTCTACTTCCTGTTGGTTAATATTACCAATTGAGTGTCCTTTCTTCTACACATACAGTGGGTGTTATGGAGCAATGTTGATTTGAAGAAAATTATGTGACTTTGTAATCCATTTTTTTCCTTCATAGGTCCAACATTATTAGTGATGAAACGATGATGAGATCAAAGAATCGATCATTGCCAAATTTGCCAAAAGGATGTATCATAGACACTAAAAAAGGTTTATATTGGTGGTGGTGTTGTATATTCTTCAATTGGTGCTAGATCAATGTCTTCCCTTGATCAAGAGAACATGTAGGTGTGTTTTCTGGTTTTGCTTTCTCTTTTCTTTTTGTTAGTTCTATTCATAATTCCCTTGTAGTAAAACCAAGTGTTGTAGATTCATCATTATTGATACCAAAAAAAAAAATACAAACATGTGATTCTTGTCAAGAGTGTTTTTAATATCATCTTATGTGTAAGTTCTTGAATATTGTGAAAAAAAATCATTTTGTAATTGCATCTTGTGTTTTGTTTTGTAGAATGATTTTGAAACGATTTTGCCAAGAGATCTATTAGAATTTATAATTATTTTGTAATCTCTGTGGTTGGAGCTAAGAAGCCTTTGCAGTTGGTTGACTTATGAGTTCCTGTTAAGAACAATGAAGCAATTGTAATTTTATAAATATTTTATTGAGAACAAGAGACAACATAAGGGTAATATGGTCATTTTTCATTATTCAGTATGGTCAGTCAAAGAAATAATCAACAACATAAACTCAGTCAGAAGTAGACTCAGTCAGAATTTCTAACTCAGTCAGCTTCTAACCCAGTCAGCTCTAACCCAGTCAACAACTATGGATCAATGGATGTAGGCCTCAAGTTCGAGTTCTCCTATCGTCATTTCTTAGCATTTTCATTATTTTATCGATTTTATTATTATATATACGATTTTTAGAAGGTAAAAACCAAGTTGGCCTTTAGTTCAATTGGTTAAGTTGTTGGGCAATAAAGTAATGTGGAGGTTACGAGTTCGAGCCTCCCCCTTTACAATTGAATTGTTTTTTTCAAGAAAATTTCAAAAATGGTCCCTGTAGTTTACCAAATGTCACGAATTCAGTCTTTTTATACTTGAAAAGACGAAAATGCCCTTACAGATTCAGTCCTTAACGGCTAAATAGTAACTCCGTTATTAAAAATGGCCATCAGTGCAAGTTTTGCAAACCACAAGGACCATTTGCATCAAAAAAAATTAATAGGGACTGACTTTATGACTTTTGGAAAACCACAGGGACCATTTTTGTAATTTTGTCTTTTGGCTATGTATCCTTGTTTCAATGAAAATATTACTTTCAACATTTGACCTCATAGAATATATTATATTTCTATAAAAGGAAAACATTAGAGTATGGTGACATACATGGTAATTATGATGACATACTTCGGATACTTGACTATCTCTAATAATTATTAAAAGAGAACCTTAAATTCTAAAATGAAGAAATATGGACCCTTATTACATTTCATTGCTTTGTCTCCATTTTAGATTGTTTTGCTGACGTCATCTGGACCAAAACATGCACGCGCCTTAGGTACATTTCATTCCTAGGTTTTCTCTACATACAATCAGCCAAATCACCCAAGAGCGTATATCGACATTCCCATGAGACTCGATAAATCCTTATTCCTTTCCTTCAATCGATACTTGTAACCTTATCGATTTCATATATACATTGAATCGATTTCATATATACATCGAATCGATCCTATGTGTTCTTCTTCTACTGTTACAAATTGTCTACATGAACTCATTTTCTTCTTCTTTTTCTCTTTCTCTCTCCAATCCATCAATGGATGTAGCTGTGATCGATTGGAAGGATTCAAAGTTCGAAAAGGACATGCTTTATGAAGACATTTACGCTCCTCAATGGATTGATTTCTCCAATCATGATGCTCCTGTTGATGATGAAGCTTGGTTCTACCGCCCTGGTGATTTTTTGTTCTTCTGTTCTTATACATGCTAACTGTTTAGTGATTTTCATATGCAATGGATTGTTTCTTTTCAGATCTTTTTGGTGGTAATTTTGATATGCAATCGATTCCATTACATTTGCTGATTTTTTACTGTAACTTGTAATTGTTAATGTTTTCGGGTTATGTTTAAGAATTTACGATGACTTTGATCTTGTAATTGTAACTGTTATGTTATTCGAACTTCAAAAGTCAAAATTACATCGGTTTTTATTGATTTATGTTGTTATGTTCATGATTGTGGTTTACAGATTGTGATCATCCAAAGACGGTGGAAGATTTCTTCAGGCAAAGAACCCCCAATTCCGCAAAGGTTCTAATTCTCAGATCTTGTTTGATTTCTGTTTCATTGTACTCTTAATCAAATCCTTTTCACGAGATCTACATATGTTTGATTTGATGAAATGTGTATTAATAGTCTAGATAACTAACTGATCTTCCATTTATCTTTCCATGTAGCTTCCTAGATCGGTTAGCGTTTCTGAGATCCCTGAATTTAGTGATCGAAATCGCAGGTATGAATATACAAACTTTATTTTATAACAATAAAGTCCAATCGAATCCATGGTTTATGAACCCTAAATCACATTTATATTTATGTTCATAGAGATGCAGCATTGAAGAATTGGTCCTTGTGCTTGATTTGAATTGAACTTTGGGTATATTAATAGCAATATTATATTTGACTCCAAAAGTTTATTCGTTTGAAGAAAAGCCATCCAAGGTAAATTTCTTGAACACACTTATGTTTTAATTCCGTGTTTGCAAATTTCTAGGTTTTTACATCTGAATTCTAATTTTCGGAATTCTAAATTGATTGAATCGTTAATTTGATTGTATTGTTCTATAAATCAGCCATTTATAATCTATAACTTTCATGAAGAAATTTGAAGGTTTTATGGAGAAGGAAAACGGGAAGAGGATGAATCAGATGGAATGTGATTCCCTGTTCTCGGGCAAGGAAAGAAATGGGACTTACTATATAGGTAAAACTTCATCTTCTTCATATCTGTGTTGTTCTTTGATACTAAATGTCTCATTTTATAGATGCTTATTATGTCTTACTAACCACCTTATATTATCTCATTTAATTCGAATAACTTAAAAAAACTTTATTTGAATGGTTCTTTCTCAGTTATCATCGTGTCCATGTCAGCTATTTGGGATCCAGAAGAAAACATATCTCGACATTTTAACCAACTCTGCAGTTAATCAGGTGAGATGCACATGAGGTTTAATTTAAATAGTTATCTGTTGCCATAAAAGTTTAATGTTTGGGTTGTATTTCCTGCGTTTATTTTATTATCATCCAATTGTATGTGACTGGTAGTGGGTTTGTACATTTTTATTGTGTATAGGTGAATGGTATAATTAAGCTTGAGGAAGAGGTTTTAAAATTGGCAGCTTTTATGGAAATTTAGGATGTGAACGAGATTTATAAGGGGTTGTTAGGTAAATATGGTGGTATATGAATTTTCAATATTGATTATGCTTTTCCTGTACCTATTTATTTTTATAATGACCATTGTTTTTAGTTTTATTTGTTTAGTGTTGATATTAAATCTCCAATTTTTCTCCTCTGATCACCAGGTACCATTTTTTATATCTATGTTTTTTTCTTATGCTACTTACTAGTGGTAATCGCATTAGAGTTTCTTGCATCTTTTATATGTTATCATTATTTTTTTTAAAACCTATTTATTCAATTGTGCTTTTGGGTTTCTTCTATAAAAATTAAAACTAAAGAGTAAGGATGAAAACGTGAATGTATTGAGTTCCAAATAGTATGGTTTTATATGACTTTGTTGTGGAGCTTTTGGATCAAGGCCATGAGGTTTTTTAAACATAATGGATTTTAAAGAAAGGCTATACCTAAAGCAGAAGCAAGAAAAAAAATAATGGATTTTAAACATATTTGCTTGATTTTCAATCTTTTTATATTTTCATATTACTTCAAACTTGGATTTTTTGGCGAGCTTACAGCATAGAATCGATGAGATTCAATGTTACACTGTTTGCTATACCATTTTCAGTGCTTCCTAAAATCAAGAATGGAGGATAACTCGGCCAATCAAAACAATCAGCAACAACAGCCACCTAATGTAAGTTATTGAATCATGTTTAATCCAATACCAACTTTGGATTTTTGTTTATCTTCAATGTTTCTGCTTTGTGCTACTTTTATCGGATTTTCATTTTTTCCTTAATTTGGTTATAGTTGCTCATCAATTTTTGTCGGCTTTCATACTTTCCATTAATTTGAATTGTTTTGAATTTGAATTTAGTACTAATGCTTGAATTTCAAACTTTCATTCAGTTTTAATTATGTTTGTAATGTGTATTATGTTCTGGTTTTTCATTGTTTATGATACTGATATTGGTACCTTGCAGTCTAAAATGGTTCTTCATAATATTGAAAATAGTGTAGTGACCGAGCCTATTGTCATCAAACGTCGCAAGCAAGTTGTGAAACTGTACTCAAAAGGAAATTTAAATATTATTAATATTATCATATAGTTCATGAATCATTGATAGTTTTTATGTATTTGAGCCCATACAAGGTGAAGCTGGGGTATGTAATCGACATTTCCCCCCTTTCATTTATGTGTTCTTTTCTATCTATTACTGTTAAGGACTATTTTTTTCCACATTAAGTCCTTAAGAAAGTGGCTGAATGGGTAATGATGTCTGTATAGATAAAGTCTTGCATAAATATGATTTGTTTCTTTGAATAACTTGTCCTAATGAATATAAATTACCATTTTACCTTTACATTCCAACAAATAAAGTCATTGTGTCCATATTAAGTATAATAGAATCAATAATATATAGATGTCCAATTAATTGCTTAATTCATTAAGGATTTAAGTACAAACGAAACAATGCCTTAGCTTCATAAATGATAATCCAATAACTTCCTTTTGTTATGTTTTTGAAGTTCAAATTTTACATCTCCTTTGGTGGAAAATAGATTTGATTTTGTGTTGACTGGTTATAATTTCTCCAGATGGCTACCTTACGGCTGTGAGGGAACATTGTTTAAACCATAAGGTCTTACATACTGGTCATGTAAGTGGTTAGTGTGTCATGTTTCTTTTATTGTCTTGTATATCTTGATACTTTTTTAACTTCAAAGTATAATGTCCTAATAGATTCTGTGGACATTTGTATGTTTTTTATATGCGTTCCCCCGCGTTTAACGCGGGTCATAATCTAGTTTTATCATTAAAAGAGTAACTGTAAATTCGGTCAACATGTTTGCTGATTTTTTATCGTTTCATCTAAAAAAGCTTTTTTTTTATTATACGAGCTTTAATCTTTTAGATCCATATAAAATGACAATTTTATCTTCTTCTATGCATTTTATTATTAATTTATTACTACTAATATTAACTCGAGATTTATTTTAAAATGAAGGTTTTTCGGCTACACAACCTCTTTCGATACACAATTTTCATTCGGATTCAACAACTGAAAGATCTAGTATGCTTAATAGTCATATTAAAATGATATTACTAATTAACATATGATACTAATAGATCACATTAACAACGTGATACAATTGATTTTTTTATTAGAAATTGATTTTAATAAATATTCAATAAACTCTTATAATTAATTGGAAATTATTTATTTCATGAAAATAATAATTTTCATTATCAGTGAACATTACATATTTCATATGGTATAAATTATTAAGTCATGTATAACATTTTGGACTAGAAATACTTTTTTGTCTTTTACCTAAAAGTTAAGGTTTATATTTTATAAAGAGAGTTTATAAAATTTACAAGTGTTGTTTCTTTTTGACTTGTGAAACCGTGAATAGAGGAGGGAAGAGAGGGAATCACATTTGCATTTGTTTAATAAAAAGCCTTACCCTAAAAAGGCATTCTTAGACATGATCATGAACTAGGGACATGGTTATTCAAAAAGTGTTAAGACCTTATGGTTAAAGACTTCACTTTATGCATAAACATGAGGCTTTCATATTTGTCTCTTTTCACTTGCATAAAACCGTAACTACATAGATGTATACATACTCTCTCACTTTTGATAATCTTATGAAGAACACTTACTTGCATTTGCTCTCTTGAAGTTCATATTTTGATATGAACTTCAAGCTTAAGAGTTTTACAAGACTAGCATCTTAAATCAAGTTGAGCTCTTGTTGGTGTTTCAAAGGTTTCATATTCTCCATAAACTTCAAAGCCTTCCCTAAAGGTATCAAAGTCTACAAAGGTTGTTAAACTCTTCTTCTTCTTTGGTGCTTGTTTTTTTCCAAACTTTGCAAGAAGATCCATGGTTTGTTATAGCTAATTTATAATAATTCAAAAATACTCAAGTCTTCCATTGCTAAAATCTTGGTTTTGAAACTAATTTTAGAATAAAAAAATCCAAGAATTGGTATCAGAGTCATCTTTGCAAGTTTGGTTAGATTTTATAAATTTTTTGAAATCTTAGTTTTTGAAAAATATGGATAACTTGTTTTTGTAAGAAAATGAGTTCATACATATTTTCTACGACAACTTTATAATTGTTATTTTTGTGACAAAGTTTTCATGCATATTTTGTCATTTAAAGTTGTCTTAGAAAAACAAAGGTTGTTTAATGCGTATGTTGATATGTATGATGTGAATAAACTAGCCAATGACCATTGTGTTTTTGTGTTTGATGTTTTTGTTAAAAAATTGGTTATAATAATTTATTTATTCATATGATATGCAATAATTAAATAGATTAGTATTATTGGTTTATTTTTGTAAGTAATAGATTAGTTTTTAGAAATAATTTATTTATACAAAAATGTAACAAAAAAATGAAGATGAAACCATTTTTTGAAGACAAAAGGGTAATTTTCGCTACTAATAAGTGTGCAGTGAAAATAGTGACAATTTCTGTAAACCGTCACTAAAGTTGTCGCTGATAGCTATTCCTTATGGGCTGCTACAACTTTTGCGACACTTCCTGCAACACTTTCTGAAAGTGTTGCATGTTGCTGAATTATTACATTCAAGAAGCTTTTTCAACCTTTTGCAAGCAATGAATGTTTTCTTAAGTGGAAGCTTCTACAACAACATTACTAGAAGACTTTTTGGTCCCTTTAAATGTCCCTTTAAGAATAGACTTGACATCTTTTGTGTTGGCTCACAAAAATGTCTTTAGTTAGTTATGTTTATGCACATATGTTTTATGTATGCTTGTGTTGTTTATTTTTATGCAATTATTATTTGTGGTTGATAAATTAGTTTTTCACATGCTAAAATAATTTTGAACAAAATAAACATCACATGAATGGTCCGCTCACTCTGACCGTCAGTCTGCAGATGATAAGCAGTGCTAAAATGCAGCCTCGTACCCAGTTCCTCATGGAACCTCTGCCAAAAACGAGATGTAAACCGAACATCCCGATCAGATATAATGGAGACTGGAATACCATACCGAGCAATGATCTCGTGCATATATAAATCGGCCAATTTTTCAGCTGAAGAACTCTCCCGAATGGCTAGAAAATAGGCGCTCTTGGTCAGACGGTCCACGATAACCCATATCGTGTCGAATCCCTTAGCCATCCGAGGTAACTTGTTGATGAAATCCATAGTAATATGTTCCCATTTCCACATCGGAACCTCCAATGGCTGCAACTTGCCATGTGGCCTCTGGTGCTCGGCCTTGACCATCCTACAAGTCAAGCACCTGTCAACATACCAGACTATCTCTCTCTTCATGGACGGCCACCAATAACTAAGCCTCAAATCCCGAGACATCTTGGTAGCTCCGGGGTGTATCGAAAACCTGGACTTGTGTGCCTCCTCTAGCACAGTCTGCCTGTTCCCACCAAAATCTTGCACCTAAACCCATCCATACCGGGTCAATAACCCCTGAATGTCAGTAGCAAACCTGTCAATCTCATCCTTGAGTCTCTTCTGCTTCCAATTCTCCTTCTTGACTCCCCCAGCCTGAGCCTCCCTAATCAAATCAAGAATTAGAGAATCAATCGATATCCTCATACATAGACTCTCAGCAGCAGAACTAGCCGTCTTACGGCTCAAAGCATCAGCGACCACATTAGCTTTCCCGGGGTGATACGAAATCTCGCAGTCATAATCCTTGACCACGTGTAGATAGTGTTGAAGGGTTTTGAGCATTCTAACACTCCTATGGTGTACATGCAACCCTAGATGATTTGGATCTATGTTTTCTCTAATATACATGCAAACTTTTATTTTTCCAAAGCATCATCCTAACTAGCATACAATGGAGTATCTTTACTACAAAATTCTAGTTAGATGACATACCTTTTGTTGTAGTTGGAAACCTTGGACCTTTAAGAACTTAGTGCCCCAAGTGTTGCACCTCAAATGGAATCACACAACACCACCAACAATGGAGGAACTTGAGAGGAGGTTACTTGCACTCATAAAATCGGCTTGCCCTTTTTGTAAGCTTACTTAGGTCCGATTTCATGAGCTAGAGGGGTTCTTATATAGTGTGGCTTAATTAGGGTTACACCATGCAAACCCTAATGTACATGACCTTCCATATTCCTCATGCTCCATGGGTTTAAACCTCCATGGGTCACCACATGGGTTTAGCCCAACACAAAGAACTATGGATCATAAGCCCACATTATAAGAATGAATGATTTACATAATCAATCCCCATATATTTAATTAGTCTCTTTTGATCACAAAATTAATTCCAAATTAATTCTTGATCAATACTAATTAAATAATATGATTTCATATTAATATATTAGAACTTATAATATATTAACAAATCATAAATAACCTCTTCTCAAATATCCATCCTTCAGATTGTTCCGGTGTCATGCAACCCAAATGGACCATGCTACTCTCGGGTCAAGTACATACCAATTATAGTTATGGATTTAGACACTAATCCAACAATCTCCCACTTGGATAAGTCTAATAACTATTATTGAAAGTACGACTCCACAACCCGACTAGCAATCGTAACTCTTAAAAGCCGCTGTCGAACTCTGACCTAGTCAATGACACGTCCATTAGATAAGGGATCATATATTCCTCCATTCTGTATATCATATGGACTGAGACATGGATTATAATCATTCTCTCTGTCCATTTGTTGTTTCCTGATTTCCGATTTATGACGAATGACTAATTGAACAAATCAAATCAGTCCAGGCCTGGTGTCATCACTAAATCATCGAGGGGCCCACATATATCGCTTTTATCCACATGGGGTAAAAGGAACGGATAAACTTCAACCCAAATGCTCGCTTGTACTTACTGCTCAAATTACACACAACACTATGTTTTATAACATCCAAGTTACTGGTGCGTTTACATATGTCAATGTGCAACCGACTCGCAACTACAACTCACATGTCTCCGTTTCAAGAATATAAGATATTATCGTCTCATGATCACTCGTGATAAAATCCATGAAGTGATTCAAATGAGTGTGGGTTGAATCCAATACTTGAATCTTATTCCAGGATGATATTAGTTTGAATACCTACTTCCAAAGTATGATTGACTATGGATGGTTTGAATAACCTTGTTATTCGGGAAGTCAAAACATGCAAAGTGAAACACAAGAATAATACTAATCCTATATAGCCCAAAGCTTTTGAGTCCCATAATGATTACTTATTATTCATTGTATATTGTTTTGAATAATCAACTTAATACTTGAATTAAAACAATAGTTATGTCATGCTCCAAGCATGCACATTATGTTTGTCTAAACAATAGTTATGCCATGCACCAAGCATACACACTATGTTTGTCTATGGTCCTTAATTTGTGAAATAGATCAATTGAAAAACATTTCAATGATGCTCATTTCAAAATTCCAAATCCTTATTGCAAGTGTAAGAATTCCAAATTCTTGTCACTGCTAGAAAGTGTTAGATTCTAAACTATCATGCAAAGATTCTTTTGTAATGTCTAGGTGCCAAAAGTCATAGAGACTTGACCAATGATATTACAAAATATTCCTTTGGAGATTGTTACAATACAATTCCATGTAAATGAAGTCTCAAATTCAAAGTACATTCCTTTGAATCATCCTCCTTGCATAAAAGTTTCTTACCTTTTCATCTATTCTTCAACTCCCAATATGGAAACATTCCATATTTGCCATATGACAACTCATTATTAACAGACTCCTGTCTATTCATAATAATGTCAATATGGTCCTTCCATTACCATACTTCCAACTGTCTTTAAGCGACCAATCCTTGGAGAACCTTAGATTATCCTTAACAGTTGTTTAACCACTTTAGCCATATCCGGTTCTATTCCTTTTTCCCTCTAAACTCCTTAGGCATTCGGAAAATTAGAACACGAGAATATTATAGCATATGCAATCGATCCTATACTCGAAGCATATGGGACACGATTCATAATGTCTAACATAAAGACATGATGCTTAATCAGTCTTTTGCTATAATATTTCTATTTGCCATGTTCTCATAATTTTGATTATGAAGAGGGATGTCGTAATCATAATCAAATCTGAGAACGCAATTAACATTTCCATATATAGAATTTCCTTATGTTGAAC